TACGTGGTCAACAATTTAAGTCACACAATTTATCTACAATAACATAACAAAACAATTAAGTCTTATATGGTTAAATTTATGACAAATTAAAAATTTTACAAATAATTTATCATGTCATGATGAATACAATTGTGTAACTTAAATTGTGAGTTTCAATTTTTTTTCCTTTTTAAAATGGGAGAATTACGCGCACGTGGGAGTTAGGAGAAAATATTACCAACACATGGGGGGTTGCAAGTGACACTTGCACCCCCTCTGCCTTTCTTTTGCACCCCATCATAGACACATTTGCACTCCCCTGTGTTTGTAATTTTTTTTCCCAACTCCCACCTACATGTAGTTCTCCATTTTAAAATGTATATACATGGAATTTTTGTAAAATAAAAAATAGGGTAAACTACCAATAAATCCTAATAGTTGGACTGAATTCCTATTAAAAAAAAGTTCTAGTAAAATTGCTGTTAAAAATATTTTTTGTGATGATTTTTTGTATCTGTCGCTAAAATTGACAATCAGTATCTTTTTTTGGTCACGATTTTTATAAATTATCGCTAAAATTTACAATTAGTGATATTTTTCTGTGACGAATTTTCAAATTGTCATTGAAAGTTGAAAATTGATGTTTTTTATGACAATTTTTTTAAATTGTCCATAAAACTTATAATTAGTGACTTTTTTGTGATTAAAATTTCAAAATGTTACTAAAAATTAACAATTAGTAACTTTTTTTTTAATAGTGTTTGATAAAAAATGTGATTACTTCTCACCGGATATATTAGATAATAAATTCACCTATTAGTACCTACACTTAAAGAAAAATTTCATTATTACCCCTATACTTTGCCTCGATTTTCAATTACACCCCTAGACTTTGAATAATTTTAATTTTACCCCCAAAATTTTTGAAACCGTATCATTTCTACCCTTATCGTCACATTTGAAACAGAAAATGTTAAAAAAATTACATTTTAACCCTAAATTTCAAAAGAAAGATGTAAACTCACCATCTCTTACCCAAATTCACCTTCTTTCCTCACCACTACTTCAAGCCCTTCTATCTCTTTCATCATAATTCTATTTTGTCTCATTTTTTCATTATTGGATTCACCTCGTGACGTAGTTTTCGTATCATCTCTCACATGTCTCGTTCTTCCTTTTTTTGCAGGTCGTCAGAGCTCTGAAAGTCGATAAAAAAGAGAGACTTTTCTTTCTATTTTTGACTTTTCTTCAAGCCATCTTTCGAACTTCATATCTTTCTCTATGCTTGACAGTTCTACTTCATTCTTTCGTTATTCTCTTCACCTCATTTCCTACTTCTTCCTACACCTCACTTTCTCACTTCTTCGTATAATGGGCGGTTTTAGTATGCCGAAAGTTATCCAAAAACTAACTTCAAAAATTTTGAAATATTCATCTTTTGTTTCTGTCTCCTCCATCTTCTTCATTCGTTCTTCTTCTTCACTTATAACATGATGTGGAACATGGTTCTAGGTAGTAACGAATGTGGTAATAATAGTGGTGGTGGTCCGACGATGACGAAGTTCGTGGTAATGGTGGTCGTGGAGTTTGATGGTAGTGGTAATTGAACTTGGTTGTGAAGGAGGTGGGTTTGGTGTTGAAAGGTGGTGGTGATAGTGATGATAATGGTGATGCTCATGGTGGCGGTAAAGTTGGTGGTTTGGGTGGTGATGTTGGTGAAGTTGATATATGTAATGAAGAGATAATATGTATATATATGTATATATATATATAGATAATTGATATGGGTTTGAGAGAATATTAAATGAGTGAATTTGAGTTTGAGAGAAGTTGATGAATATATATGTATATATATTGAGCGAGTGAATTTTGGTTTGAAAGAAGTTGAGTTGGAGAATTGAGTGCCTGCGATTGTGGTGGCAGCACTTTTAAGGGCGCAGGAGAGGAAAAAATTGGAGGAAGAGGACAGATGGTGAGTTTGGGTAAGAGAGTGTGAGTTTGCATTTTTTTTTTTTAAATTTGGGGCAAAAATGTAATTTTTTGAACGTTTTCCATTTCAAATGTGATAATAGGGATAAAAATGATACGATTTCAAAAAAAAAAATTAGGAATAAAATTAACATTATTCAAAATCTAAAGGTGTAATCGAAAATTGAGACAAACTATAGAAATAAAAATAAAAATTTCTCACACGTAAATTCGGTCCCCCCCTCCCAATCTAAAGGTGTAATTGAAAATTAAGACAAACTATAGAAATAGAAATAAAAATAAAAATTTCTCTCACGTAAATTCGGTCCCCCCTCCCCCCAAAAAAAAAATATTGGATTACAAATGGGGAGTAACAATTACACTTCTCCAAATTTAAAATGTAGAGGAAAAAAAAATTATTTATCAATTTATTTATATATTTAGAAAGTAAAAAATACTGATATTATTTAAATTAAGAGTAATGTAAAGGATTTTAAATATTTTATTAAATGTCTTACATAAGTATGAGACCCATATATTGTAGATTTTATGCCCATATGAGATATTTAATAAAATATTTAGTAGGATTGGGTATAGGATTATCTGAACCGCACAACCCACCCAACCCGAATTGATCTACATACAAATAGGTAGTTTCGCGGACACAATGCGGGCGGATGCGGTTTGGAATATGACATTACTGCGAATTGCGGGCGGATTGCAGGTTTTATCCGCACCCGCAAGAACCTGCCCGCACTTAGAATTTTTATTTATTTATTTATTTATTTTAAAACCTGGCCCATTGATTTCTTTCATCATATCCTAGATATTTTTCAATTTTGAATTATTTTACTTTAATTGTACTGTTGGATAGTGAATGATTTTGATGATTTAGCTTAGGATTTTGAAAGATGTGCTTATATTAGTTTATGATTTTATTTAAAAGTTTAAAATTTTGAATGATTTGCTTGTGTCAGGAATTGATTTTGTTGTGTTTTTAATTATAGGAAAATTTACCCATAAGTCCTAGTTTTTGAAACGTTGAACCATTTAGTCCTAAAAGTTTTCTTATACTCCATTTAGTCCCATTTTTACATCAACATGATGTGAATGATGTAAATGATCTGATGTTTCATTCTATAATTTCAAAATTTATTGAAATCTGATGAACATTAGATGTTTTTCATCCTATATTTTCAAACATTATTGAAATTTGATGAACATTAGATGTTTGAAATCCAATGTTTGTAACATGACTCTGATGTTATTAACATTGTATCTGATGTTATTAACATTGTAATGGGACCTTTCAGTCTATAAAAAAACTTTTAAGACTAAACAGTGCATAAGTTATTAATTTGGGATTTATTGGTGCATCCCCTTTAATTATATAAGTTTTAATTCATTAATTATTAATGTTGAGCATTTTAGAAAATGAGAAAAAATGACCCAAAATAAATATTTACAAAACAGGGAAAAAAAAACCCAAAAATAAATTTTTAAATAAAAAAATCTAATTTGCAAACCGTTCGCACATTTGCAAACCGTTCGCACATTTGCGAACCCTATTCTCACAAACAGCAACCCGCACTACAAATGATTACGGGTTCAATTTTTTTCAAACTGCACATAGGGGTGAACAGCAGATATACCAATCCGCCAAAATCAACCGAATCGAACCGATCCGCCGTATTTTGGATAGATACGTGATGACGAGCGGACGGTTGCGGATTGATTTTCTTCAATCCGTCAATCTGGCGGACGGATGGCGGATTTGAGATTCCTTTAGCAGCAACCGAACTACCAAACCGCGAGTACCCTTAGTAATTTATAAGACTTTGTGTTTTCAGTTTGTTTAAATATTCTGTTTGTGTTTTCAATTAAAAAAGAGTTTAAATATTTTGTTAAAAAAAGTTTTCAACTTGAATATCTTTTTTGAATTGAAAAAAATAAACGTATTATTTATCTATATTTTTTGGTTTTTAAATCTATCTCTAAAAATAATAAATGGAAAATATGATATGTGTCGGTTGGTTTTTATTTTCAAAAACAGATATAGATGTAACAATACAGAGATATACAATCTCTACAACTATTCTGTTCATGATTTTGATGATTTGAATTGTTTTTGTATTTTAAGAACCACAGATTGTAATACTTTATGTGGATGAGACATGTTGTAATTGTAGTATGTGGATGAGACATGCAGTGATTGTAATATTTTTTTAAGTCATTAACTGTAATATTTTTTTTTTTTGAGGAAGTGCACAAATTAAATTATGTTGAAAATTTATAAAATTTTAAACCGTAAAACTGATTCGCATCCATCCGTCAAACCGCCAATCTGCTCAATCCACATCCGCCAAATTGACAGACGTATATGAATTAATTTTTTTTAATTTGTTAATTTAACAGGCAGATGACAAATTAAAAGTCCCGTGACCACAATCGACCTGTGTCCACCCCTGATGTGCAGGTCTAAACCATAAAGTGAGCCTTTCAAAACGGAATAGCGAGTACTCCAAATATTATTTGAACCTCCTAATATTTTTCTTAAATTAATACTTTGAATTAAATAATAATAATAAAAAATTAAATAAAGTTTTACCAAATGTGGTGTGGGACCCACACAATGTGGGTCCCATGTGAGTCCCACACTCATGTGAGACATTTGGTAAAACTTTTAGGCCAAGTTTGGGAACACCTCAAAAAGCCAAAAAGCCAAAAAGTTACTCAAAAAGTTAAAAAGTTATCACTATTCACCAAAAGTCAACAATTACGACTGCACAACTCCCAATTCTAATTTTCTCCTACAAATTAATTTTTATAATTTTTTATTACACATTTTTCCATAAAAAGTCAAAAAGTTAACCCAAACATTCATATTTTCAACCTCAATTTTTTAGTCTAAAAAGATAAAAAATGCACTTATTTAGTCTTCCCAAACTTGACGTTAGTAAAATTTTTGAGACATCTAGCATTTTTATAATAATAATAAATAAATAAAGCTACAGCTGTAGAAAGACAACTATAAGAGCATCCAACTCATTCTACATCAAGCCCCCTCTTTTTTCTTTCTCCTCTCACAAAAGGACCAAACCCAAAACCCCCCATATGGAGGCTCCACCACCCGCTCCGCCACCTCTCTCCTCCACTCTCGCCGCCGCAGCCGCAGCCACGGCGGCCGCATACCCAGACTCAGTCGACTCCTCTCCCCGCTCCCGCAACACCGATTCCTGGGACGAGCCAACGTTCCCCTCCGCGGCTCCCGGCGGCGGCGCTGCTAAGTTACGCCTGATGTGCAGCTACGGCGGCCACATAGTCCCCCGCCCTCACGACAAGTCCCTCTGCTACGTCGGCGGCGACACCCGCATCATCGTCACCGACCGCCACTCTTCCCTCTCCGACCTCACAAGCCGACTCTCAAAAACCCTCCTCAGTGGTGGATCTTTCACAACCAAGTACCAACTACCCAACGAAGATCTCGATTCTTTGATCTCCGTCACTACCGATGAAGATTTGGAGAACATGATCGAAGAGTACGATCGACTCACTGCAAACAATTCGACCCAGAAATCGTCTCGACTCCGATTGTTTCTCTTTCCGACGGAACCCGATTCGGGTTCCTCAATTGGGTCTCTGCTCGAGAACTCAACGAAGTCGGAGGACTGGTTTTTGAACGCTCTCAATGGTGCTACGAGAGGTGGGTTCTCTGAATCGGCGTCGGTGAATTGTTTGCTGGGTTTAGACGATGATGTAGCGATCGCCGGAAACGAGAACTCGTCGGCGAAGGGAGTGAGGAGTAGTAGTAACAACAACATCAACAAGCAAGGTGGTGGTGGTGGTCAGGATGTTCATTCGGTGCCCGATTCGCCGATGCTGGAGACGAATTCGTCGTTTGGGTCGGCGTCGTCTTCGCCGTCGCTAGCGAACTTGCCGCCGATTAGGGTTCACGTGGTGGAGGATCAGAAGGCGACGATGGATGGTGGAATTGAGGACCAGTTCTCTCAGATGAGCGTTGGGGCTACTACTACTGCTGTGCAGAAGCAAGATGATGGGGGTTTTGTGGTTCTCTCTTCGCCGCCTACTCTGCTAACCACTTCTGCGGCGGCGGCGGTGGTGGTGCCGGGTTTGGTGGGGCTTGCTGGAGGTTACCCGAATCGGGTTATCTCCGACGATGAGAGATCAGAACAGGGAATGACTGTTGGGTATCGGAAACCGGCACAGGCACAGCCACAGGCACAGCAACAGCAACAGACACTGCCTCCACAATCGCAGCCCAAACCAACTGGTGGGATTGATTTGTCTTCCCCTGATTCAGTTTCAAGGTACCTAAACAATTCAATTTCTTCAAAAGTTCTTGTTTGTGCTGTGTATATGGTTCTTTGATCTTGTCCTGAATCGGGTTTTTGATTGTTTGAATTTTTGATATTTGATCTTTTTTCTGAATTAGGGTTTTTGAATTGTTTGAATTTCACAGTGATAATAGTACAACCAACCCGTTGTCTCGCCAAAGACCCATGATTTATCAAGATCCAACTGTTCAGAATTCCTCTGGGAACAACAGGTTTCCTGTGAACAATCCCATTGATCCGAACTCTAGGGTTCAGATGCTACAAGTTCAGGATTCTGGGTATTTGTTGCCAAACCAATTTGATCAACAATTGAATCCACAACAACTTCAACAATTGAATCCACAGCAACAACAATACCTTCAATCACTGGGTGGCACTCATTTCATTCAGCATCACCCTACCGGTGCAATGCCAATGGCTTCTTACTACCCCATGTACCATCCCCAGCAACAGCCCCACCATCCGCTTGATCAGCAATACCCAGTGTTCTATATGGCTCCTAGACAGTCCCAAGCTTATAACTTGCCTGTCCAACAACAAAACTATAGCGAAAACGCCACCACCGCCCCTTCTAGCCGCCCCCAAACACCGCCTTACAACACTGCGAGAAATGTCACTTCTAACGCCGAAATGGCTACAGGAATGTATAGAACAGCAACTGGAGCTGCCTCGTCTTTAGTTCAAGTACCCACTAGCCAAAATCAACCACAGTATGTTGGTTTCTCTCAGATGCATCATCCATCTCAATCTGTTGTTGCCCCTACTTCTGCCGCTACCGGCAATTATGCTTATGAATTTGCTGATCCTGCCCATGCCCAAATGTATTACCCTCAGCATATGACACACCAATTGGCTGCTGCACAATATCAAGCCATGACGTCAGGCCCTGCAATGGTGTTACATGAACCTCCTGCTCAGCTTCCTACAGACAACGTCAAGCAGCAGCAGATCAGGACTGCACAGCCATGAGAGGTGAGTTTGGGCAGGAACAAACAGTTTTGCAGCAATGGGTGTGGTTTACATTTCAGTTTTCAATTATAGTGTCTATCTCTTTCATTGGGTATTGGTTTGTGGTTATGTATTTGTGATAGGTAATAAGAAGCACAGGTTTTCTTCGTTATGTTCTTTACTTGTATGTTATATTGCTGTTGCTATTGTGAAAGAAAATGAAAGTCATGTGAGTCATACTGTAAAAGCTCAAACTAATATATTGGTCTGTTCAGTCTATGTCAATTATTGAATAAATGTAATATAATGTTGCTAGAGCGTTTGAGTAAATTGTGTTTTCAGCTGTTTGTAGTTCTCTTTGTTCATGGGAAATCTCGTTTGCATACTCTGCATTTGTACAGAGGATCTTGCCGATGCTGTGTCTAGTGTTTGTTAGTTTGATGTTACTCTGAGAATCTTGCCCCACCCATCAAAGCTATTATTCTATCAATTTGGGTTTTCTTTTTTGTCTTGGACTTAAACAAAGGGAAGAAAAAGAAGAGAATCTTTGGAGGAACCATCGGCTGTTATTTCATATGCCTTAATATCTTTTTGTTAAACCTTGTGAACAAGACATCGATTTTGGCCCTATCTTTATTGCTTCCTTCTTCAACCAGAAGTATATGGTCCCTAAATTGTGCTTGTGGCCAAACTAATTCAACAAACATTCTCTCCACTTCTATTTGTTTTCTTGCCTTCTTTACTATTTGCTTCACATAGACTTGCTCTATGGGACACACACACACTCTCTCTATGTCTCTCTCTCTCTAGATGGAAATTGTGATGTGACTTGCAATTATTGTCAAGTAATATTCCTCAAATGCTGTAGGTTTGTATGTATCAACATTGTAGATTCGATTGTTTTGTACTGAATTGTAGTTCAACGCAGTTCGATTTGTTAACTACCATTTCTTCAACCATCCCGGTTGATCCAATTCATGATATATCCAAAAAAGACCATCCACTCATAAGTAATACCAGTTTTACTAAATTGACTAGTTGTTGTTTTGTCAATTTGTATACAAGCCTATACATGTACTCTCTGAGTCGTTTTCTCTCTTTCTGTTGTATTTTAAAGTACTCTCTTGCAGGTAATTGAGATGCAGCCATACTTTGATCTTATTGACTGAAACTATGTTGGTAGGCACAAACAGTCTCTTTCACATACTTGTTGAACCATTTTGTCTATATAGGAAATGCAGAACTGTGGACAATGGTGAACCGGGGATCTTTGGTGTAGTCTTGTTTTGATTTGGAGTGGAATTCTTTTTTCACTGTTCTTAGGCCTCTTCATCCTTGTTTTCAGTCATGATGATCTATTTTTTCAATAAAATCTTCTATCTTGTATGTCTCATTTCACTTCCTTTTGCTATTTTGGACAACTATATTGATGAAGATTACATGGATAGTTTATCAGGTAAAAAGACAATAATATCATTCATTATTGATCTCTTAGGCACAAAAGCTTGCTTGTAAACCTGAAATTGTCTTCATCACCTGGTATATAAACTGGGATTACTAAAGTTGAGGATCAATGTAGGGATACTAACTTATTTTATAGAATGTCTGTATTGGTTTTTGTGGTTCCTCGCTTTAGTCCTTTGCATCAGAAGTAGATGATTCGTTAACATCAAAAAGTGTCATTGTCACACTCCCTCCATTTGGGGGTTTTGTATAAAATTAGTTGATAATGCTTTTCCTCAATTTGGTTCATTTTGTTAAATTCAACAGACAGCTAGCAAACTATACAATTTGTCTAGTCTGATCACAGTGTCTTTGGTGGGCATTGCTGGGACAAAAAACTCTTATTCTGCTGATCTGATGAAATGATCATACTAGTTGTTTGGGTTGTTCTAAATAAGTACACTTTTTATCTTCGTAGATTAAAAAATTGAGAAAAAAAATGACTGTTTGTGTTAATTTTTTGACCTTTTATAAAAAAATGTGTATTAAAAAATTGTATAAATTAGTGTGTGGGGAAAAATTAGAATTGAGAGTTGTGCAACCGTAATTTTTGACTTCTGATGAATAGTAATGACTTTTTAACTTTTTGAGTAACTTTTTGACAATTTGCCAAACTTGTCCTAAGTTTTGTGCCTGTGGATATTCTCCATTACATGTAGTTATTGAATTGTGAAAATTTGGATCAAAAAATATTGAAGCATGTACAAGTATTTTTATTTTTATGCAATCGACAGAAGGGAAATAGGAAAATGAAAACTGTTTCAGAAATCACTTATAATATGTTGGATCCACTGTGCAGTGACAGTTCTTTTATTCTGCTATTTTATTACTACTAATTAATTAGTGATTAAACTATGTGAAACAAAGCACAAGGTTTGTGTAATTTTGCTCCTGACCACCAACTCCTCTGGTAAGGGTTTAACTTTTTGATGTGTATGATGAAAATTATTTTATATTCTCAGTTAATGTAATCGATTATTATTGGAATTCAATGTCTTTGCTTGTTCACATATGTTGCCTTGTGGTTTGAGAACAGGTTTGGGTAAATTACAAACATATCTTGAAGTTTACTTAAAATATAGATTATCTCATGTGGTTTAAAAAATTATAAATATTCTTTTATTAGAATTTTTTATTTGACAGAATTAATTAAAAAAATGAAATTCATGATTGCTCTCTTATACCATAATAAAATTACCTAAATTATTAATTGAAACATATTTTTAATATCATTAAAAATTATTAATTGACTTGATTAATTAATAAAAAAGGTGATTTGTTATGAAATTAGAAATCTCAAGAGGTGAAATGTAATTTTTAAAATCACAAGGAGCGATTCATATTTTAATTAAATCTCAAGAGGTGTATTTGTAATTTACCCTTTAGCTTTTATGTAAAACTAACAAGGTTCATTTTTTTTGGATAAATTACAAACACACTCCTGAGGTTTATTTAAATTATAAATTACTTTTTTTAGTTTTAAAAATTACATTATGTCTTTTAAGGTTTCTAATTTCATAACAAATAGGTCATTTTATCAATAAATTATTAAGTTAATGAACAATTTTTAATAATGTTAAAAATTTTATTTCAATTAATAATTTAGATAATTTTATTATTATATAAGTGAACAGTTAGAAATTTTACTTTTTTAATTAATTCTGTCAAATAAAAAATTTTGACATAGATGTCTTTATAATTTTTCAAACTATAGGGATAATTAATATTTTAAACAATGATGTATTTGTAATTTATTTATTTATTTATTTTGCCTCGTCAAGTGGCAAGCCCCCATTCGTAGGGGACATTTCTCTTTAATATTGAGGTTACTCCAAGTCAGTGTTGCTTATCTGTTTACGCGTTATCACTGACAAAGCAATTGCATCACATAAGTTTTGGAATGTTTTTGTACTTCAAATATACATTTAGAAAAGGCTCACTTCTCCCGCAGACCGAAATCAGATGAAGGCCTTGTTTAGAAATGGATTATTTAATTGATTTTTAATTTTTTATAAAAAAATATGTAAAAAAATTAAAATTAGAAAAGGCTTATGAATCAAAAAAAAAAAAGAAAAGGCTCACTTCTCCCGCAGACCGAAATCAGATGAAGGCCTTGTTTAGAAATGGATTATTTAATTGATTTTTAATTTTTTATAAAAAAATATGTAAAAAAATAAAAAGAATAATATGATAATTTATAGTGATATTTTAATTTTTTATTAAAATATATAGTTGACAAACAAGACCTAAAACGTGTTGTTGGGTTTTGTGGACCTACCACAAAATCTATATCGATAATTTAAACTGTTCAATGTGTAGGATTCGTAGAGTATTTCATCTCTGGAAAAATTACATCGATCAGATATCGATAGTTACTTGATCAGATCAAATTTGTGTCAACGGTAAATATGATTTTAAAAATAAATTATTGACACAAATGTAATTTTATCAAGTGATTATTAATATCTGATCAATGTAATTTTTTGCCGATATAAAGTACTTGATGAATCGTACACATTGAATGGTGTAAATCATCAATATGTACTTCGTGGTGAGTCCATAAAAACCCAACAGCATGTTACAGCTGTTAAACCCAAACGGTAATCCCTTGATATATGTTGCTTGATTTTTATAATTATTTTCTATCACAGCTTTTATGATCAATTTTTATTTTTTATTTTTATTTTGCGAGGACCTTAAATGTTAGTCTGGTAACTGCACTTTAAATGTAAAGTGTTGAGTTCAAATTGATATAACATTAAGCTCTTTTATTGTAATTTATCTATTAACATTCCATCAAGAAAAATGTGAGGAAAAGGAGACGTATGAAAGAAAAGAAAAGAAAACAAAATATATCTTTCCATCTAAAATAGTCAAAAGTTAAAGGATTGTAGTTTAATGACATGACCATACATTCTCAAATTAGAGTTTCAACGTTCAAACCGCAGGAGGAGTTCTAAGTTCTTATGCCATCGGTTGTGGGTTCCCCCGACCCAATTGGCGGCTCCTCTTCTCTCAATTATTGGGTCTTTTGAGAAGCACTAAAAATGTCAGTTTTTAATTTTTTTATTTATTTTGAGTTATATTATCTCTCATTTTTTTACTCACAAAAAAATTAAATAGATTAAAAAAATTAATTTTTTACCAACTTTCCAAAATACGTTAATATTAAGGCCAAGTTTGGCAAGTTGAAAAAAAGTCAAAAAGTTAAAAAGTTACTCAAAAAGTTAAAAAGTTATCACTATTCACCAAAAGTCAAAAATTACGGCTGCACAACTCTCAATCTTAATTTTTCTCTACACACTAATTTATATAATTTTTTAATACACATTTTTTCATAAAAAGTTAAAAAGTTAACCCAAACATCCATATTTTTTTCCTCAATTTTTTAGTCCAAAGAGACAAAAAGTGCACTTATTTAGGACACCCCAAACAACCCCTAAGAGTTACGTTTTTAAAAAAGAAAATGTTATAGGGTTCAAATTTTTTATTAAATAAATAAGTAAATGTTTTATATGGGTGTGTGGTTTATAGTTTTATGGACCTTACGGGAAATATTTGGTCTTTTATTTGGTAGAAAATTTAATATCTTTATCGTTTTTTTAAAAAAGTCAAAAGAAACTAAAAATTAACATTAATAAAGAGAAAAAAAGAAATTAAGCTAGAAGAAATAACTAATGGGAGGGAAGAGTCTAATTAGGCCATATTTATTTAGACGAACCAATTAGATTAGATTAACATTAATAAAAATTTTAATTCTAGATTATCAATCATTTTGGATTGTGCATTTTTTTTTTTTTTTGACTTAGGATTATAAGTAGGGATTGACGAAAGAATTCTA